GTGACTCCCGCAGCTGCAGCCCATCCCGGCTCCAGCAGCTGCCCTCCACCACATCCCGTGTCTCCACACAGAAAACTGCGTTCTCCCCCTCCATCACATCCAGCTTCCGTGGCAGCCGCTTCGCAATCACCCCTATGGGAAGAGATATATTAGGGAGGAATTCTAGGAACCGAGATGGGCTCTTTGAGGTGGGAGAGGAGGAGGAGGAGAGGCAGCAGCAGGCACCAGCCAAATGGAGGGAAGGCAAATGCAGGGGGCAGTGGGTACCCTGGCAAGGAGGGGAATAGGAAGGCAAAGCTGTGCCACCAGAGGCCTGAGCCCACCTCGGACAGAGACCTCAGCGATGCTGCGTCCTTTGTCCTTCATCTGGCAGAGGTAGATGCCGTCATCATCGATGCGGGCATCGCGGATGGTCAGGCGCCGCACCACCCCCTGCTCCTCCATCACATACTTGTGGCTGGGCTGCAGCTCCCTGTCCTCCAGGTACCAGGAGGTGGGGATGGTCTCCAATGGCACCTGGCACTCCAGCACTGCATCCTCGCGCTCTGCTACCTCCACGTCTGCCAGCTGCACCTGGAACCGCAGCCGGTGCTCTGCCACAGGAAGAGACAGGAGCTTAGGGCATGTGGGGTACAGCATTCACTGTCAGCCCTTTGCTCAAGTGCTCCCAGCTCACAAAGAGCTGCAAACCCTTGTCCCTCCTTTGCCCTCTCCTTTGGCTTGCATGAGAGAGACACTGCCCTGACAAGGACATCCCCCAGAGCAGGGAGGACCAGGGGACAGCCTGGGGAGACACGGGGATGCCTCCAGTATCTCAGCAGGGAGTTCTGGGGGATGCAGGAGCATGGAAGCCAGCATGCTGCAGCAGGCATCTCAGTGGAGGGGAGCAGTGGGGTGTAGGCAGGGGCTGCACCAGTTCCTGGGTAACCCCAGCCACGGCTGTCCCCAGCTGGCTGGATGGCTCGGGGGGAATTGGGCAGCTGCCAGTGCAGACTGTTGGAGTCATGCCCTGCAGGGCTGGCTGCCAAAATCACTCAGCACTTCCAGGGGAATTTGTCACCAAGGCACTGTCCCTCTTCCCTGTTTGTGGCTGGACACCTGCAGTCATCCTGAGAAGCCACACCTCTGTTTGCAAGGAGAGAGACACAGACCAGGACACAGCTCCTGGAGAAGCCCAGCGTCCCCTGCTTCCAGGCCACAGCTCTGTCCTGAGGAGCCTGGGATGACCCTGGCTGCACAGGGCAGGAAGGGGCCCAGAGGTGCTGTGCTCCCACAGAGACACACCCCTGCCAGACAAACTTCCCTGAGCCCCCCAGGGCCCAGCCACCTCTGACACTCCTTGGATGTGTTTCTACCTTTCACCTGGAGCTGCACTGCGCTGAGGGTCTGGCCAGCAGTGTTGGAAGCGGTGCACATGTACAGCCCCTGGTCCTGAGGTTTGCAGTACAGCACCTTGAGGATGAAGTAGCCCTCCCGGTCCTCGTAGATGAGATGCCTGCGGCCAGGAGCGAGGGGTTCACCATCTTTCTGCCAGATGATCTCTGGCTTGGGCTTGCCAGTAACGTAACAGCGAAATTTGGCGTGCTTCCCTGCGCTCACAGCAAATGCCTTGGCCCCTGGCACCCTGGCCGGCGCTACGCCATTGGGCACCCAGGTGTCCGGTGCCAGGCGCCGTCCCGCTGCGTGCCGCCGCCACCGCTGCCGCTCCGCCAGTGCCTCGGCACCATCGGCAGGGCAGCCATTGGGGAGCCCGTCCGGCAGCGCCTGGGGCTCAACCAGGAGCACGGCAGCAGCCAGGGCCTCCTGGGAGCCGCTGCGTGCCCGGCAGACGTACACTCCCCCATCCTGGGGCCGGGCACTGAACAGCTTCAGGAAGTGCCAGTCCTCTGGTTTCTGCCCCACTGCGAAGTGGCTGCTCTCAAAGAGTTCGGAGAGCTTGTGCCCGTCCTTCTCCCACTCCAGCACGGGGCAGGGCTGCCCAGACACCCTGCAGGTGAACATCACGTCCTCCCCCCGGCACACCCGCAGGGAGGAGGGGGCGATGAGGAAGGCAGGTGCGACACTGCCTGAGCATCCCTCCTCCTCTCGCCGCTCCGCTGGCTCCACCCTGAGCATGGTGGCAGCGTAAGTCTCACCAACGCTATTCTTGGCCCTGCAGACGTAGAGTCCACTGTCCTTGGGGGTGGCACAGGACACCAGCAGGCTGTACAGGTCCCCTTTGGACTCCATATGGAAACGGCCCGAGGGCTCGATGGCATTCTTGTCCTTTTCCCAGAGGATGCTTGGCTGGGGATCACCCACAATCTGGCAGCTCAGGACCGCATTGGTGCCACTTCGGACCGTGAAGGCGCGTGGATAGGCCAGGAACCTGGGGGCTCCCCCGAACCCCTCCATCACCAGCTCCCCAAGGTCACGGCAGGCAGCTGGCTGGAGCAGCAGTGGGGACCATCAGCCTGGGGGGATGTACACACAGACTAGAGTGGGGGCTCAGGCTTCATCAAAGAGATGGACCAGTTTGGAGCCCCCATCCAGGAGGGACCCACACCTGGAGCCAAATCCCCAGCATGGACCCCCTGCTTCAGGAGCATCACCCTCAGTCAGAGCAGAACAGCCCCACTGGATTTGCCCCCGAGTCACCCAAATCATGCATTTCCCAGCCCAAGGCAACAGGAGAGGTGACAAAAAGTGGCTCTTTGCACCCTGGGGGGCTGAGACACTTGAAGCTTATCCCAGGGCTGCAGAGGGGACTCCAGTTCCAGAGATGGGGGACCCCTGTCTAGACAGGGAGCATGGGCAGCTGCTTGCTGGGTGCTGGGGCTGGGGGACAGCGGAGGCAAAAGGGCCCCCGCCCGCCCCTTCCCCACCCGCCGGGCATTCACATTCCTGCAGTATCGGGTGGTGGCAGAGCCGCATTCCTGCAGCATCTGGGCCGGCTCAGCGGGCAGGTGCTGACACGGGGCTGTCACGGGCCCGAGGCCCCGGCTGGAACCGGGCTGGGACTTCCTCCCAGACCTGGGTGGGCAGGGGACCCCCTGTGCCACCCCACAGGGCAGTGCCCTGGGGCAAAATGGGGCTCTGGGAAAGGGTCCCCCTCCCAGAGAGTAGCCCCACAGGCAGGATCCAGCCCTTGTGCACTCAAAACTACAGCTGGAAATCATCAGTCCCAGGGGAAAAAATGAAAGCTGGGGAGATCGGTCCTGCTTTTGCAGGGCACTGCCTCCATCCCCGGCTTTGTGGGTAAGCGTGCCCACCGTCAGGGGCAGGAGTGGGGCAATGTGCTCTGCGCCTCCTCCCGGTGAGTGCACCCCACCCTCTGCCCGCACCATGGCTGGGACTGGGGCAGGGTCGTCTCTGACTTGCTCAGGCAGGGGGAGGGGAAACAAAAATACTTCTTGAATGAGCCAGAGGGTAGGAGAGGGCTGGTCCCCAAGGAGCTACAGGGACTGCAGCCAGCTTCTCCTCCCAAAGCCCTACCCCGGGACAGTGCACCCATTCAGAGCCATCTCTCCATCCACACGGCCCTGACCCGTGGGTCACCCCACAGCAGCCCCTTTGGACACAAAGGGAGGGCTCTGATGGCTCAGCCACACCATTGCACCCTTCAACCCCTCCCTTCCCCAGCCACCCTGCCCCAGGCAGCCCCCAGCCCAGCCCCTGCCCCACTCAGGTACCTCGCTGTGCCACCTCTCCCCTGCGTCTCTCAGTGCCGGCACCCAGCTCCTGCTGCTTCCCCCAGCTCCCCTCCGGGGTGTCAGTGCGCAGGGACCAAATGTTACAAATGCCTGCAGCTGCTGTCCCCAAAAATACCCTCTGATGACACGCAGGGTTGATAAGAGTGAGCCTGCTCCGTTCAGCGCCTCGCCGAGGCTGGGCTGGCCTACCTATGTATAGCAGCCACCCCAGAGAGCTGCAGGGCTGCTGCAGGCCTGGCTGCGCCTCTGTGCTGGCTCAGCCAACAGCGAGGGACAGCGTGCCCTGTGGAGAGCGTGGCATGGGCTGCAGGGTGTGCTGTACCCTGAGCTGGACACCAGACTGCAGTGAGACAGGACGTGTCACACGGGACATGCTGCATGGGGGGATGTGCTGCACTGGGTGCTGCATGAGATGCCAGGCTGTACTGGATGGGATGTGCAGGACACTGGGCTGCCAGAGATACAGAGGGGATGCACAGGCTGCCCACCATCCACAGGGCAGGCAGGGTTAGTGGATAGGGAACATCTGGCACTGTCCCCTCAGGCAGTGATGAGAGGAAGGGCATTTGGTCTCCTTACAGCCCATGCCTCTTCTGCAGCTCCCACCCTGTGAGCCAGCCCGTGGCTAGACTGCCTGAACAGCATCCTAGGATACTTCTCCTGTACCTGCTGCAAGGTCTCCAGCTAGCCTGCCTCTGTCTCATCTGCTCTTCTCCCCCTAAAGCTGGGCCAGCCTTCTGCAGCCCCAGGTAGAGCAGGAACCTTTTGCCATCCCTCCTGCTTCATGTCCCCAGGACCCTGCCAATCACCAGACTGACATGGAGATGCCACAACCTCCCTGCCTCTCACCTCGCCCTTTTCAAGGCCCCATCCTCACATTTTGGCCGCCCTGGAGACTGCCACCTGCAAAGTGCCTCCCCCATGCCAGATCCTCACAGGCCTCTGATCCCCACCAGGTCCTTGCCCAGATTTCCCTGCTGTGCACAACTGCTATCACTTCCCACTAGCTCCCCAGAAGCCCTAGACCTTCAACTCCTCCACCTGGGGGGCACCCAGCATCAGCAGCTGCAAAGCTCACCCAAGGTACCCCCCTGCATCCCTGCCAGCTTAGGCTCCTGGCAGCACCCCAGCCCCAGGCACCCACTGCTGCCGGCAGCATCCCCCTCACACACCCCCCTGCCCGGCCGCCGGCCCCCCCAGACCACACTGTCCTTGCAGTCCTCGCATTCCAGACGTCTCAGCGCTTTCACAGCTCAGAGATAATATTCACGGCGAGCAGACGTTTGCGTCAGTGTCAGATAGATCTCAATGCCACCCTGCCCCGGGGGGAGCGCCGCGGGCAGACGGGCTGGGCAGGCAGGCAGAAGCCCACGGCAGAGGAGCCCCCCGAGCTGCCAGCCTGCCAGCCGTGTGCCCCACGGTCATGCTGCTGCTGCTGCACCTGCTGCCTGCCATGCTGCCCAGCGCCGCCCTGGCCAGCTGCACCGCGGCCGGCCCCGACCGGCAGCTCATCCTGGCCAAGGTGCGGGCCCGGGTGCTGGAACACCTGAGCCCCCCCCTGCTCCAGGAGGAGCCACAGATGGAAGCGAGGAGGGTGCACCGGAGAGACGTCCTTGAAAGCACCGAAGTGGAGCCAGAGGAGCTGGAGGACACCTCCCAGGTGATCTTATTCCCTGCCACAGGTAAGGATATCCTGATGAAAGGGTGAAGCAGGGTGGGGGGTTGGAGCAATGCAGATACTGAATGATGGAGAGGCTGATGTGGTGGTCTGTGGGAGAAGGGGAGGAAGGTGTGCCAGGCTGGGACATGGGCATGAGTGAGATTTGGTGGAGAGCCAGGAGATGGAAAGGTATGGCAGGCAGGGACACGCAGAACAGTTCAGGACAGACAGCTGAGGGACAGGCAGCACAAGAGGGTGCTGAGAGGCTGGGAAACAGCTGGCCAGGCAGGATGCAGAGACATGGGGAGGGCTGAGGAGCAGGGTGGAAAAGGATGGGATGCTAGGGAATGGGGCAGGATACTGGAAGGTGGCTTGGGATACTAAGGGACAGGGCAGGATGCTGAAGCATGGGGCAGGGATATAACAGCAGGAGATGGGGCAGAACACTGGGGGATGGGATGGGATGTACATGCTGGGGGAAAGGGGAAAGGTATGGGACAGGACTGGGAGATGGGCCAGGATGCTGGGGAGGTGGTCAGGATGCAGAGGATGGGAGAAGGGGACAGGATGACCAGCTACGGGGCTGAATGCTGGGGGACAGGGCATGATATGAACTCTGGGGGAAAGGGACAAGATAACCAGCTATGGGGCAGGATATTAAGGGACACGGGTGACAGTATTGGACCAGCCTAGGGCATAGCAGGGATCAGCTGTGGGGCACAGCACAGAAGCTGCTGCACAGCACAGCAGCTGCCCTGCACCCTGCCACAACCTATGCCAGCAGCCAGGTGCCCTGCCGGCACTCCAGGGACCTCTGCAACATCCCACTTGCCATCTGGCATTGGGGATTCTCCCCAGGTTTGGGTACACACCCTGCTCATCTTTTCCCCCCTGACAGATGTTCCCTGTGAGCCCACACAGCCAGACAAGCTGCTGGAGGAAGAAGGGATTTTCACCTACCTCTTCCAGCCCTCGGCGCACACCCTGAGCCGTGTGGTGACTTCTGCCCAGCTCTGGTTTTACACGGGCCCCTCGGCTGCCCCCAACCACTCCACCCCTGACGTGCTGACCCTGTCACCTCAGGGCCGGGTGCCAGTGCCGGCCGTGGTGGAGCGGACACCCGAGCACTGGACCGTGTTTCACTTGGCCCCGATGCTGCTGCCCCAGCTCTGGCAGCCGCTCTTTGTGCTCCTGGTGCGCTGTCCTGGCTGCCCCTGCCTGGCCGAGGGGGACAAGATGCCTTTCCTGGTGGCCACCACCCGGGCCAAGGGCAGCGAGAGGGCTCGTCGCTCTGCCATGCCCTGGTCCCCAGCTGCCCTGAGCCTGCTGCAGCGTCCCTCCGAGGAGCTAGCTGCCCACACCAACTGCCGCCGGGCTTCCCTCAACATCTCCTTCGAGGAGCTGGGCTGGGACAAGTGGATCGTGCATCCCAGCAGCTTTGTTTTCCACTACTGCCATGGGAGCTGTGCCGCAGGCCACGGGCTGAGCCACCGGCTGGGCGTGCAGCTCTGCTGCGCTGCCCTGCCGGGCACCATGCGCTCCCTGCGCGTCCGCACCACCTCTGACGGCGGCTACTCCTTCAAGTATGAGACGGTGCCCAACATCCTGGCTCAGGACTGCACCTGTGTCTAGGGCATCTTGCAGCCCAGCCCCAGACCGTGAGCCCACTCAGGAGGAGTTGCTTTCCCAGTGGAACCCTGGCCACTGGGATGGGGCAGTTTGGCTGTACCACCCTCCCCTGCACAAGCCAGATTTTTGGGCTGGCCCAGGTACCATCACACTGCCAGACTTGCCCTAGGGCCAGTCCCAGCTCAGAGCAAATCAGGGCATGGCTGGGCATTGCTGCCCTGCCAAAGCCAGGCTGCTGTCCGCAACCGGTTTAGCCCTCATCTCTCCCACCTGCTTCCCTCCTGCAGTTCTGCACCCCTACGAAGATCAGTGTCTTCCTCCTGCTGCAGAGTTCAACAGCATCCCCCGTGCTCCAGGCAGGGCCAGGCTGCTGCAGCAGGATCAGGAGGTGCCTGGGTGAGCCCATGAACCTCACACTGGTGAGCAGGGCTGCTAGCACACATGGCACCACAAGTGAGCCCTCTCCCAGCAGCACAGCTTGTTGGAACCTTCATGGGATGAGTGAAATAAACCTGTTCCCTTTACTAAAGCAGCCTGGAAACACCAGCTTCTATCTAGATGGAGAAATGAGGGGATGGGCAAATACTGTTAGAGGAATCCAGCTCTGATTTGGGGTACCAGAGCGGGGATTGGAGTATGCTGGCCAAAATGGGCATGGTGTGGCTGGGTTTGATCCTGCCCCAGGCAGGGGTGTGCAGAGCAGAGCAACATCCCTTCTGCTCTAGGCAACAGGTTGTGCAGGAACAGGGGCAGCGGAGGGCTGGGGAGCCAGGGGCATGGTGGGAGGATGGGGAGGCAGAGGAAAGCCCCTTGCCTGGCCCCCTGACAGTGATAGGGCCAAATGGGAACGTGGCCAGTGCAATCCCTCTCCAGCAGGATGATGACGGCTGCCCCAGCCGGCCGCAGCCGCCTCCTCATGGCAGGAACAACTGAGTCACCCTGGGCAGCAGGGAGGTCCCAAGGCACGCAGGGCAGCGCCAGCCCAGACGCACAGGATTCCCTTCCCACCCCTTCCTCCCAAATGAGCGGATGCAGCAGTTCAGTACAAAACGTCTTCAGCCTTTACTAATATAGATATTAAAAAAAAAAAAAAAAAGAAAACCAGAGTGACAATCATTTCCGAGTAAAAAACAACGCTACAAAAGTCCCCATGTGACCCAGGCTGAGATGATGAGGAATGCTCCACTGGCTCCCGGCCGAGCCCAGCTCGGGGCACCACGTCCCCACACTGTGAGGCCAGGGTCTGGCTCCGTGCAGGGGGTCCCAGCCCTACAGCCAGAGTGGGAGGAGACAAGTTTTGGTCCAAGGGCGGCCTGCCAGGACAGGGCGGAGGCAGTGGGAACGACAGCCCCTGACCTCTGCACAGACATTTCCAAGCAGGCCAGCCACGCAACTCACAGCTCCATGCCAGGATGCTGTGCAGCACAGCCCCCCAAGCTACAAAGTCACTTTCTGGCAGTGCAGTGCCACCAGGACCTCTCCCACCCCCTTCAAAAGTAATGCCAGCCCAGCCCTCTGTCCCACAGCTTGGCCCGGCCAGCCAGACCCTCAGCTTGCTCCCCTAAGTCCCTCACACCTCAGGGAGCAGTACCAAAATCACTGGCACATGCACAGCACCAGCCAGTGCTGCCACAGGTGGCAGAGGGCATGGGGGGGCACAGGGAGGTGTGAAGACAACATGCTGGGGAAAATAGGTGTGGGAGGAGGAAAAGTGGGTGAAACAGGAGATGGGGGGGCACAGGCCCAGAGTGGAGATTGGGATGGAGTATAAAAATGCCAGGGTGCACATGTTGATGGGTTTATAAAAACGTACAAAAATAAGATATTCCCTTTTTGAAAATTAGGTAGGAATGAACCCCATGGCCCTCGAACCCTCTGCTGCCCACCGGGACAGGGCTGCCCAGACTGCCCCGCTGCGCAGGCGTGTGGCATCCTTTGCCCTGTGCTCCTGGCAGGACGCCTATCCCGCAGTGGCGGTGGCAGCCACTCCAGCAGACACCGCTGTCATCCCTGGCGACACTCACAGCCCTGTGGGGAGCAAAAAGCAGGTTAGCACCCACCCCAGGGGGAATGGCATCCTCTCTCCAGGGGAGCCTCGGGGCAGCCCCCCATGCCTCCACCCAGTGGGCAGGATCCATCCCCCGTCCCGGCTCACCCGTGGTCCTGTCGCAGGCAGCGGTCCCCTTCTCATGGGCCAGGTTGAGGCGGTTCTGCTCGGCAGCGATGCCGTTGGCCTCGGGGCTGCTGCTGCGGGCAGGGCTGGGGGGCCGTGGCGGGGGCTGCAGGTGGAAGGCCACCTCCAGGTGCTCCTGGGCCAGGCGCAGGTGCTCACGAAGCCGGTCCAGCTCGTGCACCGGGGGAGCTCCAGCCAGGGCGAAGCGCCCCTGGGCCAGGCTCTCCTGGTAGTCCAGCTTGCTGTTGGTCAGTGGGGCTTGTGGCAGCTCCTTCTTCAGGGAGTGGTAGGTGGGGGGAGCGCTGGGGGCTTTCTTGGGGTATTGCGGTGCAGGACTGTCGCCAGTTGGGAGTGGGGGCCCATCGGCTTGGCTCAGGGCATCACGGATACGCCCCACGCCAAGATGCAAGAGCTCGCAGAGGTTGAGGAAGAGGCAGAGCCCGCTGACGGCGTACATGATGAGGAGGAAGATGGTCTTCTCAGTGGGGCGGGAGACAAAGCAGTCGACAGTGTGTGGGCAGGGGCTGCGGCTGCACACGTAGGAGGGGCTCACCTCAAAGCGGTACAGCAGGTACTGCCCGAAGAGGAAAACCATCTCCAGCACGGAGCGGCACAGCAAGTGTAGCACATAGGCACGCATCAGCCCGTCCTGCTTGATACGGCGCCGGCCATCGTGCTTCTCTCCGCCCTCTGGGCTCTTCTCCTTCTCCACCTCGATCTCCTCAAAGATCATGGGGTCTTCTTCATTGTCATCTTCCGCCTCCTCGTAGTCTCGCCCGGCTCCCCGGCGCACCACGGGCATGCGTGCCCGCCGGGCTGCTGACGGCCGGCGGCGCGAGGCCTCGGGCATGCGAGCGATGCGGTGCATGGCAAAGCCCAGGTAGAGCACCGACGGTGTCGCCACCATGATGATCTGGAAGATCCAGAAGCGGACGTGGGACAGGGGCGCGAAGGCGTCGTAGCAGACGTTCTCACAGCCCGGCTGCTGCGTGTTGCAGACAAACTTGCTCTGCTCGTCGTAGTAGATGGACTCTCCCCCCACGGCCGTCAGCACGATGCGGAAGACAATGAGGACGGTCAGCCAGATCTTGCCCACGAAGGTCGAGTGGTTGTTGATCTCCTCCAGGAGCCGCGTCAGGAAACTCCAGCTCATCCTGACCAGGCAGTTGACTCAAATCCTGCAAGGAAGGGGCAGGCAAAGAGGCACTGAGTAATTTCACAGGCATCTCACATCTCACCGGGACCCTGAAGTCTGCCAGCTGCTAGCCCAGCTCTGTCCCGCTCCCTCTTCCAGCACCACTGTCCCTTCCCTTACCCACAGATCCATAAACACAGCCCTGCTCAGGAAGCTGCCTCCCCAAAACTTTATTCCCTGCTCAGCACCGCCTCCCTGTGCTCCCGTCTGCATCCTGCTCCCATCCTCCTGCTAGCCAGGTGGGTGGAGGGATGGGGAAAGGCTGGGACATCCTGGTTGCCTGCAGGGACACATCTAGGGGAAGAGTGAGCACAGTCACAACCAGAGCAAACATGCCAGCGTAGGGCAGTACCAGCTGGGGACTGTGAGGGGACAAGCAGGAGCAGAACCACTTCCTTCTCCCCTGGTGACACAACATCCATTTATCACCTGGCACTGAACAGGTCCCTAACCAGCGTCACACCCTGTGAAAGCACTCACGCCCTCCCACGGGGGTCCACAGGCCACTGGAGGAAGGCAACGCATGGCAGCTCCACTGGCCCACTGCAGCTGCCAGCCCTGAGCCCTGGCTGAGGGGGGCAGGTCCCCAGAGCAGCATTCCCTGCCATGGTCCCCTTCACTCCACAGAGCTCTCCTCCGAGGGCCAGCAGAGATGCAGCATCACTCTCCCACCAAACCTCAGTGCTGCACCATCTCTCCTGCAGGACCCCAGCCCCCAGAGCCTGCAGTGGCCAGTGCTCACAGCACCCTGCATCTGGATGGAAAGGGCTGGTGGGAGAGTAGAACAGGGAACAGGACAGTGATAGCAAGGGGCAGTGTGGGGTAGCCAAGGAATTGCACAAAACCCTAGCAAAACAGCTGACACTAGAGACTGGGGAGGAAATTACAAGGACCATGTCATATCTCCCGACCAAAGAAGACACAAGACACCCACACCCACTGCCCACCCTGGTTTCAGCAGCTTGTGCATGAGATGATGCAAGCCAGGGCAGCAGGTGGCAGGGATGGCCCAGGGTGAGCAGAAGGTATGTGTCTGCACAGAGCCTCCAGCAGCCCCTGCCAGCCCCATTCCATCACCTCTGGTCAGGGCATGTCCCTGCAGATGATGATTGATGCTGCACTGATTCCACTATTGTCCAGAACAAGAGGATCTCTTACAGTAAGCTCAGCCAGCCTCCTGACCAACTACACCAAAGCAGAACAGTGCCTCCAGCACAAGCATCTCTGCTAGGGACGTGCTCTTGCTGCAGGAGGTGGCACAGGCTGGTGGCACCAGGGACCCAAATTCAGCCCATCAGGGTCACCATCCTCCCATGGTCATATGCCCTGCAAGGTTTCACTGCTGCCCTGTCTCCCAGGTGTGAACCCCTCTCCCCCAGCACCTCCCTGGAAGGCGGGTGCTTTGTGTCTGCCTTTACCCTAGTCTCTAGCAGCACACCACCCTGGCACCAGGGTGAAGAACAAGGTGAGAGGACAAGGCAGGAGGACAGTTCCAGGAACCAAAACCCAAGCTATGTCAAACCACGACAGGTACCAAGGCCAAGGAAAGCAAACAAATAGGGTGGCATTGCTGTGGTGGCTATGGAAGTGTGGCATGGGAATGGCTGGCAACGTGGGATGGCAGCAGCAGTGGGC